TACCGAGGATTGGCTTGCAAGTTCAAAAGCGAGCCCTTCTACATTTCAAAAGCACGGAACTAGGGCCTTCCTTCTGTTTTCTCAACCATCTCAAGGGTTGTCTCAAAATAACAGCCTGTTTTTTAAGAAGCAGGAAATGGCTAAGCAGCTGAAATTTTCAAGTGTTCACGTGCAGCTGGAGATGTTCTCAGAGTCATTTTTTCCTCATCATTTATTTTTTCTTATGCCAGTTACAAGAACCCTGTCACAGAAGAATTTCAGAAATGCAGACTGAGCACTGCATGTCCATCTTTGATGTCTAAAGGAAGTTAACAGACAAAGGAGAACCAGTTCACAATTGAGAAAAGGATCCTCTGTATTTGATTGGTCTATCTCCAATGATACCATTCAAGAGTGAAGGCACAATCCTATTTTCTTACAACCACCCAGAGCAGCTTATGCAATCCATCCTCCTCTCCTCTCCATTCTAACTTTTCAACAACCCTGTGCGATAGTTTGAGTCTATGGCCAAGTGCGGACTAGAATCCAGATCACCTGAGTCCCAGTTCCAGCGTCTTAACCACGACACCCCAGTAGGAGTTGGACTGGGTGGCCTTCTCTACTATTCTATGGTGCTATGTTCAGCTTTCCCAGCCAGTTTTCTCTTCTCTCCCTCTCTCCCCCTAAACCTTCCCCATCCCTGCCTCTTTCTCTCCTATGGACCCCCTTACCTTGTGTTCTCTCTTTGCTCCCACCCTCTAGCCTCTCTGCCCCCCCCCGCAGCCCCCCCCACTCTTAGCTTCTCACCTTGTTCTTTCTCTCCCTGCATCCTTTCCCCTTTCTTTTCCAGTGCACTGAACAGCTGATTGCCAATGGGTATGAAAACTGGAAGGGGACTCTGGCACCCCACTGTGTTCCATGTTTTATTAATTTTTTTAGGTGGCAGGAGGAGCCGGTGGCCCCTACCTGGATTGCTTCTACATGGCATTTCAGTCATTCATTTTGCTTTTTATATACTGCCCCATTCTCATAAGCTCTGGACAGTTCACAAGAGATTGAAACAATAATTAAACTTTAAACTAAAAACAAGCATAATAAATACAACTAATCTGGAAAGGCCTGTTGGAAGAGTTAAGTCTTTAGCTCCCTTTTGAAGGTAGCAATCTTGGTATACCAGAAGCATCTCTCCCGGAAGACCATTCAGTAGTTTAGGGCGAACCACCAAGAAAGTCCTCTGGGTGCTTGGCATTAATCCTACAGAAGCAAACTTTGAAAGATTATCCCCGGAAGAACCTTACTGGGTGAGGCAGATACATGGGCAACGCACTCCTGAAAGTATTTAGGCTCCAGCCCTGCATAGTTTTAAAGGTCGTTACTGACACCTTGGAATGTGACTAGAGATCACTTAGCAGCTACCGGGCTTTCCGTGAAGTTGCCGAGATCAACTTGATGCCGTATTTTGCACCAGTTGCGGATTCCGGCGTAGGCATGAGGGTAGCCCAATTCACAGAGCGCTGCGGAAATTAAGTCTAGAAGTGACGTGTGTGCACACTAGCGTTTTAGGTCACTCTCTTCTAGGAAGCGATGTCGTGCGTTTATTATTTATTTAAAACTTTTGCATCCTGTCTTACACATAACCTTTTCAGGATGGTCCAACAACGAAGGCAAAGCATCATATCTATAATAAAAACCTGACTAAAATAAAAATTAGGTGTTAAAATAATGGGGAAATAAAACGGGGTTGGCCTGGTGCCAAAATGAATGGTCACGTCTCTAGGGAGTGTGTTCCACAGCTGGGGTGCCACCGCAAGGAAGGCCCTTCTCCAGGTAGCCACTCTCCTAATCTCTTCCAAAGAGGGCTCCCAAAGGACCTCCAACCCAGATCTTAGCCAGACAGATATATATGGAAGGAGGCATGCCTTCAGATAATGAGGTCCTCAACCATTTAGGGCTTCATAGGTCATCACCAGCACCTTAAATTCTGCCCAGACTTCAACTGGTAGCCAGTGTAGGGGGTGAAGGACAGGCATTATGGGTGCCTATCTGTTCACATCCTGGCAGCTCTGTTTTGGACCAAGTGAAGCATCTGGACGGTCTTCAAGGGCCGTATTGAGTTTCGTGGCCTAGTGCAGAAGGCCCACAACTCATGCCTGATGGAAGGACTGGCCTCATCTGGCCACTGGCATCCCTGCTCCACAGGGGTGTGTGGAAGTAGCCCAACCTCCGTTTGGGACAGACTGCAAGCTCCGTGACTTTCATAAAAGAATGTCAGCTTTGTCTCTTCATGTTTAGTCTAACAAGTGTGTGGCTGTCTCCTAAATTCTCGGAGGAGACTACCTGCGGTCCCGCCCTGGCTGGGGTTTTGGCTGCCAACTGAGGAAAATCCAGGCGATGCCCAAGGCTCCTTTTGTTTGGAACATATTTTCTGATAGATGGGTTGATCAACCTTTCCTGTAGATTTTATCATCAGAACGCCAGCGAGTTCGGATGTCATGCTGTGTTCTTTGCTGTCTTAAAAGGCTGCAAAAGATGTTACCCTTGCAAGAGCATTTTTGCATGTTCTGCAGTAATATCTATGAGAACGCTGCCCGTTGTGTTACTCAATATTTATTTAGAAAATTTCTATGCTGCCCCATTCGCCAAAGCCTCGGGGCGGCTCACAAAACATCAATTAAAATATAATACACTAAAAATACACACTATAAAACAAATTAACAATATAAAATAAGTCGCCCTGGCCAAAGAATAAAATAAGCAAATAATATTAGCAATTAAAATGACGTTTGAAAAAGGTCTTCGCCTGGCGCCGAAAAACAAATAACAACGGCGCCAGGCGGACCTCTCTAGGGAGCGCGTTCCATAGATTGGGCGCCACCGCAGAGAAAGCCCTCCTCCGAGTACCTACCCTCCTAATTTCCTTCACGGAGGGTTCCCGGAGAAGGGCCTCTCCAGCAGATCTCAGGGGGCGGGCGGGCGTATCCTCTCTCTAAAGTTCCATGTGAAAAATATTTGCATCTGAGCTCAGAAGGATGTTGCCATCATGGTCACTGTGTACGTTTTCTGTTTTTTTTTCAATAATGTAAATTGTTACCCAATGTGCTTCTTTATTTGTGCTGGTATGTAGGGACCTGAAAGCTAAATTTGCTGCTCAGCTCCCAAATGATGCTCGTCTAATGGTTTATACCTACAAATGAAAGTGTTGCTTACTACTAGTACATAACTATGTGGCTCGCTGCCACAAGATGGTCACTAGCATTAAAAAGAATAAAGCACATTACAAGATTTTTAATTAAAAGCATCAGCGTAGGTCTATCATGCACCACTGACAGGGAAGAACCCGATCTAACGCTGGGCATCTGGTCACAGCACTTCCTTGGCTCCTGAGGCCTCACCAAACAGCTCCTTCCCCCTTCTGTAGGAAAAGGATAAAAATATACCTACACGTCCCAGTAGCTGCTTATTATGCTATATTATCCATATATGCCCATCGGCGGGGGAGGCCCTTCTCCGGGAACCCTCCATGAAAGAAATTAGGAGGGTGGGTACTCGGAGGAGGGCTTTCTCCGCGGTGGCGCCTAAGTTATGGAACGCGCTCCCCAGAGAGGTCCGCCTGGCGCCGTCGCTATTTGTTTTTCGGCACCAGGCGAAGACCTTTTTATTCAAGCGGCATTTTAACTGTTAACATTATTGGTTTTATCTGGCCAGGGCGGCTTATTTTATACTGTACTGTTGTATTTTAATTTTATATTTTAATTTATATTATAATTATTTTAATTTATTGATGTGAGCCGCCCCGAGGCTTTGGCGAATGGGGCGGCATAAACATATTTTAATAAATAAATAAAATTATCAGAACCCTTTTGCTCCAGCAGTGGCACACATGGTCTCCATGCTCCTTGTGGTCCCTTCATGGCCCTCCACTCGCCAGGGAAGATGTGGCCCCGTTGCCTTTGGAAAGTGAGAAGGGCAAAGATACACTTTAAGCGAGCAGCAGCACTGGTGCAGTGGCGAGGAGCCCTACCAGCCCACTGCAGGAAAGAGAGGCCCAGGTGGAACCCCTGCCGCCTTCTGGGGAGCGCCTGAAATTCGGGCAAAGGGTAGCATGTTGCAACCACCAGCTGCTCCGATCTCTCCAAACGCACTGTGAGGGCAAACAGATAGGTAAGGGCCTGTGGCTGCCCCAGGGCTGCTCCCAGGACAGGTCTGCACCTAGGCTGGCTGGCTGGCTGGCTGGCGGAGCCGCAGCCTGCACCTGGCTCTCGTGCACCTGGCTGGACACAGGTTTGCAGCGCAGGTGCAGGTGCACAGGTGCTGCTTCTTACCTGGCTCCTACAGGGTCGAGCCTGCCCTGCGCCACTTTGGGAACCCCGGTTTATGGCCGGCCCCCTCCCCTCCCTGCGTGCGCCCAGCACGTCGCGCGCCCTCGGAAGGGGCGCCTTCTCCCCTCCCGCGAGGCTGGGGCTCTTTCCGAAGCCCCCGCCTCGCCTTTCCGCCCAGGGTCTGCCATCCCCCAGGACCTCCTCCAGCGGGGCTCCATTTTGAGAGGGGGGCCGTCGAGGCCACCTGCAGCATCCAGGGCAGCCTTCCCCAAACGGGCGCGCTCCCCCAGGTGGGCACGCCAACTCCCCCCGCGGCTCCGCCTGGCCGTGCATGATGGGCGCCTCGGCAAACGCCAGGCTGCGCCGCAGCCCGGAGCGGGCGCGTCCGCCCACAGCGAACGGCGCGGCGAAGCCCCCCCCGGGCCGGGCCGGGCCGCGGAGGGCGCCCCCAGGCGGCCGAGGCCCGCAGCCCGGCCCTGCCCGTCGCGCCTTCGGCGGGGCGCCCACTCCGCGCGGGCGGGAGGCGCGCTAGGACCGCGCGGCGGGGGGTGTGTCGCCGGGACGCGGCCGTCCCTTCTTCCCCTTTTCCCCGCGCCGATGCGCGGCCGCCCTCAGTGCGGGCTGCGCGCCGCCTCCCGTCCTGCCTCCCTCCCTCCCGCCCGAGACGGGCCGCCCCGCCGCGATGGTGTGAAGCGCGCAGCCCGGCGGAGCGGAGGGAGCAGGCGCGGCGGCGATGGCGGTGGCGCGGCGCGTCTTCCACCTCCAGCCATGCGGTGAGCGGCTCGACGTGGCGGGCGCTCCGCGGGAAGCGCCCGAGGGCGCGCGCTTGCCCACCCGGGTCCCTCCTCCTCCTCCTCCTCCCCCTCCCACCCCCCAAAAGGAACACGCATCGAGCCGCGCAAGTCTGAAGCGGGGTGTGCGCCTCTTCCCCGTTTAATAGATTCGTGGGGGCTGCGCGGCGTGCCTGCCGCTTGCCGCGGGGTTTGCAAGCGAGGCGACAGGCGATCTTGCGTGCAAACACCCAACACCGAGCCCCGCTTGGGACGAGAGGGGGCGGGGCGGATTTAAAGCAAGGGGGGTCTGCTTTAACGACCCGAGCAGGAGGCGAACTTGCAATTTGAGGGGAGGGGCTGCTTCGAAGTGTGAAGTGCGTGCCTCTGTGCTTTTGTCGAGAAAATCTAAAAAAAAAAGTTGAGAGAACTTCCTTCTTTTCCTCCAAGGTCCAGCTCTCCCAGAAGCGGAGCGAGATGTAAGCGCGCGCGCTCTCCCGTCGTTTAAGGAAACCGAGGTTGTAAGCTGGGACAGCGGGAAATAATTGAGTTCGTATTTATTCCTCGTTAATGGCCTCGGGTGTGCGCTCGCGCGGTGTTTTGGCAACATCCGGCAGCAGGTTATTTGCACTTGAGTGTTTCAAAAGAAATCATTGACTTCCAAGTTCTGCAAGCTCTCCTTTTTGCAAGAAGGAGACGGACCGATTTGGAATTGTTTGCAAGCAACCGAGAGGCAGCGAAGGTTGTGCAATTCGGCTTGTTTTGGGTTTTTAACGCGGTTATCAGCACTTCCTTAAGTCGTCTGATTGGTCTCTCTCCTTTGTTTGTTTTGAGGCTGCAGGGTTTTCCGTCTTCCCCCTCCGCTCTTTCCTTTTTCTTAGAAGCTAAATGACACAAGCCCAGTGGAGGAAGTCCTTCAGTGCAAGGCGATTAAAATTCTTAATAGCTGCGCATCCTCGCCGTTGCTTTGCCCGCGCCTGCTTCTGCTCCTTGCTGGGCCAATCCCATTCCGGCTGCTTGCAGCCTTCCTGAGTCAGCGGAGCCCTAGTGACACAAGGCTGTGCAGCGCACTGGAACTGGCAAACTTTGACAGCGAGCAACGTTTCCTTTAACCCTCGAGCACGTGCCTGGAAGAGCGCTGCACGCCATCTCTTGCAAAGAAGGATGCTCCTTTGCAAAACAACCGCGACCACCGCGCTCCCGGGAAGCGCTTCCCTGCATCTCCTCTGATCGGATCGCCGTATTGGCAGCGCCGCGGCGCGCGCTGATTTGTTGGGGGGCCTCCAGCGTTGCCCCAAGGAGCTCTTCGGCAAAGCTTTGCTGTAAGTGACGGCTCCGAGGACGGCGAGTAGGGGTTTCCCTGCTGGGCTTTCCCTTCTGCAGGACTCGCGTTTGGCCCCGCAGGTGCCTTCAGCTCGCTTTGCCATTTCATGCTTCCCGAGGTCACCGAGGCCACGCGTCCAAATCCTGCCTTCTGTGCGTAAAAGGCAGCAGCTCCGTGCGATGGCCTCCCCTGGGCAGCTTGCTGCAGACTCCCCAGGGGTGGCTTGTTGCTGGGTCAGCCAGCCGCCCAGAACCCCCCCCCCCCGCTGGTTGAGGGCCTGGGCTGGCGATTAAAGCTCCCCAGCCTGCATGGTGAGGGAAGAAAGCGCCGGGGCTTGGTTCTCCCTCTCTGATCGGGTGAACTTGTTTGCTGTATAGAAGAGCTTCCTTGGTTCCCTCCCGTTTGCTTAACTCTGGCTCTGCTTTTTTTCCTGGGAGGGGGTGGAAGGAGAGGCACAAACACTTGCTTTTGTTGCGCGCGAGGCCTCCGTTCTGAGAGGCCCTTTGCGCAAACCAAAACCCGAAGATGCATGGCTTATCCTCATTTGCTTTAATGCAATCAATGCATTAGCATTGCATTGGACCTCTAATGGGGGGGGGGGAGCTTCTGTGACCTTCTGTGCTCTGTGTGTGTTTCTTTAAAAAAGTGCTTTTTACAATTAAGTTAGAAAGAAGTATCAACATTAAAAGAGCAGAATTCCAGGAGAGCTAACCAGAGTGTAGCTGCAACAGGGCACTTTCTACCCAAGTCTAGTGTACCTTGTTGCCCCTAGGGGAAGAAGTGTTACCCCCCTAGAACCAGGAAGCTGAGGGACACTCAATTTGAAAATAATTTGGGGGGCCTGCAGCACAGGTATGAGTTCTGAATATATCGCCCTTCTGCAACCTGGAACCCACCAGATGTTCCGTAAGCTGTGGTCTTCCAGATGTGGTACCTTCCAGATGTAAGGCTGCGGCTTAGGGAAGCCTGCTGCAGAAGCAGCATGGCAAGATGCCCTGTCTTGTTCTTCCATTCATGAAAACAGGACTGCACAATTAAGTTGCTATTATTAAGCAAGGGTTGCATTCTTTATGCTATATACAGTACCACTGGGTGAGTTGCAGAGCTTGCAAATTGCTAAGGTTTTGAAGTTATGCTGACTATGAAAAATGCAGATTTCAACGAAGTAAGAGATTTCAGTCTGTGGCCTTTTATGAGATTGCTTCTATACACAGGCCAGTTTCTGCGTAGGTGTAATAACTCATTTGAGCCAGCCAAACAGCCACCAAGAACATGCAGGCTTTACCCTTTATCGTAAAGCATCACCTTAGCATAGAATCCATTCATCCTGCAAAAACAGTCCCAAAGGGATAGAGAATATCTGTCAGTGGAATTGCAAAGAGGTATCTATTTACTTATTTTACAGCTTTTATATCCCACCCTTCACAATGTTTCAGGGTGATAATTCAATAAAATAAATAAGATACAGCATCAAAGTTACAGTAAATTAAATCCAATCTTAAAATGCTATTAACATTTTAAATAATGGGGGAATAAAAAGTTTGGCCTGGCACCAAAATGAAAAAAGCGCCGGCGTCAGATGCAACTCTCTAGGAAGCCCATTCCATAGCCAGGATGCCACCACAGAGAAGGCCCTTCTCTGGGTAGCCACCCTCCTGATCTTCAAGGGGGGCTCCCAAAGAAGGACCTCTGCTCCAGTTCTGAGAGGCCAGACAGGTATATGAGGTATGTCCAGAAAGTGATGAGAATGATATTTTAGAAATAATTTTATTGAAAATTTTAAAATTGAACATTGTCTCCTTCATGGTATGCACCTTGTGAGGTTACATAACCCGCCCAGCAATTTTCCCATTCTTCATAGCATCCCTGGAAGTCTTCAGGGGGCATTGTTTTTCAGCCAAAAACTCTGACAGCCAAAGCACCGTGACTCGGCACGTTGTCGTGATGGAGGACCCAACTTGTGCCATCGGGACGCTTGTGCGGACGACAGCGTAGCTTCTCCCTAAGCTTCCCTCGCCATTTCCAAAATTTCCGATGCACTTTTACCCAATTTCACACAATTTTTTCGCGTACCGCAGTTCCGAACTCGCCTGCATTTTTCTTAATAAGAGGCACTTTGGCACAAAAGAAATGTCTCGGCTCTGCTGGAACGCAACTGATCGTCGTTCCAACGCACACCTGCCCCCCCCCCCCCCGTGACCTTGGCCAGCTTCCCCCTTCACAGAGCTCTTCTCCAGCGCAGAGACTTCATTCTCATGACTTTCTGGACACGCCTCGTGTGTGCAAGGAGGCGCTCCTTCAAATGTCTCCTATCCTCAAGAGGTGCCCAGCACCCCCCTCTCTCTCTACTGCACCTTATTTCTAAAGGCCGTGCTCCTTCAGCCTTTTTCTGTTGAATAAACCCGCTTGCACCATCCAAAGAGAATTGCAGTGCTGAGCCTACTGCTCCAAGAAGACCTGAGGCCTTGAAGCCTAACATGCATTTTGGAATAAGCTTTTGCGGAGTGCAAGCCACCTCACAGGACACTTGTAGTGCGATGGTCTTCTCAATGACCCTTCCAAGGAAGGGGGGGATTTCTGTGGATGCAGCTGCCCTGCGAGTATCCCGGGGAATCCCTGTGCTTCTCAGGATACAGCTCCCCCCTCCCAGGATGGCTGCTTCTCTTCTTCTCCGTTGGTGGTTGGTTCTGGCTTACTAATTTGTGCACTGGCAGCTGGCAATCTTTGAGAAATAGGATTCTGGCTTTCTAGGGCAGCGAGATCAGATGCGAGTCTTTGGGATGATACTAAAGCGAACTCTGTTTGGTTCCACGGCCATATACGGTTCTGCAAGGCATCGAAATGAAAACACACATTCGATTGAAGCTGAGGGCAAAAATAAACCATGGCGTGGCTGAAGCGGCCTGGAAGATAATCTTCTAAGCTAAACTTTCGCGTTGCCCCTAGTTTTTTGGGGGGGTGGGGTGGGGGATGGCTTGTGTAATTAACTGGTGAGTAACACACTGGCAGACCCTGTGGCGTGCCCGTGCAAGTGTTATCTGACATGGTTATGATTTTGTGTTTTTGTGCCGTGCAGGAAAAAATCTTCGCATATTTTAACATATAGCAAGTCGTCTTATTCTTGTCACTTGCCAAAGTGATGTGTGAGGCTGTTCCTTAGATCCATATGCCTGGGGCAAGGAAGGAGGCAGCTTTGCAGCGCCCCACTTGAAATATTCTGTGGCATAAGGGCAGATCTGTACATGTCTAACTTCTTTCTTCTTTCCTTTCCTTGCAGAATTGCCAAATAATGATTCCAAAAGTTTGAAATCTTGGGCGATGTAGTAAAGCCAATGCAATTGAGCCGGTCCTCTTCCATAAATAACACATTTCAAAACAAGCTTCTCTTTGATTCAAGGAACACCTTTTGGAGGGGTCACTTCCTGATCAAGGAATCAGTTACAAGAGGGGGGAGAGCATAACTCTGTTCTTCGGCTGTTGTCCTAAAGCACACCATCATTCCAATGAACCTGCCCGCCCGCGCATTGGAGGCATGAATGAGGAGTGGCCCAAACATAGTTTGGATGGTGGCATGCGCAGTCATGCATCAGCCAAGGTGATCGTGCACCAACTTTTCCGGTCTCTGAAATGGGAATAATCAGCTCCCCAGTACAAGGCACTCTGCAGCTTGTGTGGCAAT